TTTGTTTCTAATCTTCCGCAAATGATCTTCTCAGTACTTCCAGGAATCCTCACTGGGGTTGTGGCCAAGATCTTAACAGCATCGGATTCTACTTGTGTCGTTAGGACAATTTCTTCATTACCAACTTTAAGGATGTTCATGGAAGGATCAAAGGAGAAACCATGTTGGCCGATCAAATCCATTCCCAAAACAAAGTCATCTTCTATATCGGCGACTAGTGTTCTGTGCCTGAAGGTGGTAGATCCAAAAGTGAGCTCAACCATCGCTTCTCCTTGAACTGGTGCAGATTCGCCGGTGACTGTTGGTAGTGACAGATTTCTAGTGAGCGGTTGGATTGCTCGAGACTTGACTAATGTTCTTCTAATTATGGAAACTTCAGCACCCGTATCAAAAGTGATGGTTTTCAATTCTCCATTGATTTGTCCTTCGAATTTTAATCCTCTATAATGACTGCCCAATGATTTTATGTAAACAACTCTGGGGGCTTCGTCATTACTAGCCAGCATCCTCCTTTCCGTACTAGTTAGTTCCTGTTTGTCCTTAGGGCTGGCGTCTCTAGACCTTGAAAAGCGTTGAGAATGATCCTCAGATGGAAAGGACATCCTTAGTCTACAATCCCATTGCATGTGTCCAAGTTTTTGGCACCGGTAGCATTTTACTCGGTTTCTCGGGGTTGGTGTTTGTCTGGAATCGTTCCCCATTTTTCTATCTTCTAGTAACAGTTTCTTTATTCTCTCCATGAAATTACTCATTTTGGCTTCGAAGCTACCATCCTCTTTTGACAATTGTTTTTCCTTTGGGTCCTCAATGGACACTGCTCGTATTCCGGGTCGTGAGGTACCAAAGATTGCTTCCAGTTCTATTGCTCGGACAAGGGCTTCGTTACTTTGTCTGAACTTGGACATTCTTAGGTTTTCTTGGATCTTTGAATCTCTGAGACCATCAATGAACGCAGATACTGCCATCCATTCCTGCATGTCTTCCCCAGCTGCAGGAAACGCCAAACTCACTAGCCTTTTAACTTCCGATTCGAATTCTTGTAGACTCTCGCCGGGTTTTTGAACTCTTGATTTGACTTCAGTTCTGAATACTTCTTGTCTGTAATGGTCTCCGAAGCGCAGTTCTAAAGTTTGACTAAGATGCTGGTAATTCTGTTGGTAGACTGAAGGAATGGACTGAAGAAGGTCTAAGGCAGGTCTTCGTACCGCCACTATTAGTGCTGTAGCTTTTTCTTGGTCGTTCCATCCGTTGGTATTTGCAGCAGCTTCAAATTGTCGAGTATACATGGTCCAGGACGTAGAACCGTCGAAAGTTGGTGGTTTTATCTTCATACTGGAGAATGCTCCAACACTAGCTAGATTGATGGACTGTATTTCTAATCTACGCATCTTCGAGTGCTTGAACTTGGTCCTCAACTTCTTGTCTTAATTGCTGAACATCGGCTTTGACCTCAGCTTTTACTCCCTGAACGTCGTTTTTAACTTCTTGAACATCGATTTTGACTTCAGTTTTTAGTTCCTGGACGTCGTGTTTAACTTCTTGCACATCGTCTTTAACTTTTTCAATCTTCTGGTTTAGGTTAGCGACAGTTCCTTGTATGGTTTGGAATATCTTCTGCAGTTTTCCAAGGTCTTCTTGCCGTTCTTGTTGTCGCCTAGCTTCTTCTTGTTGTCGTCTAGCTTCTTGTTCTTGTTTTTCTTTTTGTCGTCTGGCTTCTTCGTCTTGTTTTTCTTGTAGTCGTCTGGTTTCTTCGTCCTGTTTTTCTTGTTGTCTTCTAGCTTCTTCGTCTTGTTTTTCTTGTAGTCGTTTAGCTTCTTCGTCTTGTTTTTCTTGTTGTCGTCTGGTCTCTTGAAGTTCCAACATTTTGCGCAGAAGTTCTTCAACTTTTTGTTCGTCCATTTTTGTTTGTTGTCTTGTGATAGGCATATACAGAACGCTCTAGAATTCCCCTCGAACTTTCTTCAAATATCTTTTCTGGTCTTTGCTCGAAGTTCCAAAAACGCCGGTGAAGTTACAAATTGGATAACTTGCTTTATTCTAGAATAGAATGTTCTGGAATTTTCTTCAAACTTCTTTTCTAGATGTCGATTGATACAACAAACACGTCGGTGAAGTCACAATTTCGATATCTCCCTTGGTTTCCAAATAGAATGTTCTAGAATTTTCCCGAAACTCCTCGAAAAACCTCTTCTGAATGACGATTGATGTTCCGAATACGTCGGCGAAGTCACAAATTCGATATCTCCCTTAGTTTCCAAATAGAATTTTCTAGAACTCACTCGAAGATTCACTATCAAAGTCTAAATCGGGTATAAAGTCACTTCCGGGGTAATTCACACGATCGGTTGAGTCTCTTTTTGTGATTGTCACTATTTGCACTGCACTAACTGTCCCAGTGTTCACTTAGTGTTCAGTTTTTATACTACACTAGTGTCCCTGCACTTCCGTAATTGGATTTCACTCTGCAGTCCTTTATATCCCACTCCTGACACCAAATGTCGCGGCTTTGGGGTGCCTGCTGACAAAAATCTTGGGTTCGTGGTTCGTTTCGTTTATTCCAAAAATTAAATTTATTCCACTTAACAAAACACTCTGACACTAATTACTTTATTAACAAACTCAACAATTAAACTCTTTTCAATCACTATTTAAATCGTATCACACTCGAACTGAAACTTAACTTACAAACCAATGCCGGCCTTCTTATATATCCCTAAATCTTCCAAAATTTTGGAAAGGGTTTTGTATAAGCAAATATACGAATATTTGAGCATTAATAATTTGTTACCAGCAAAACAATCAGGTTTTCGTGCTGGATATGATTGCAACACGGCTTTGGCAGAAATTACGGACAATATCTATCAATCTCTAGATGATAATAAAGCTTTCATTTTAGTCCTGCTTGATTACACCAAAGCGTTCGATATGTTAAACCACGATATTCTTTTGGCGATTCTAGAATCAATGAGATTTGATGAGGGATCTCTTAATTTTATGAAATCATTTTTACAGGGTAGGTCGCAGTATGTTGAGCTGGATGGTAAAATGTCTGATTTCCTGAGCGTTACGCAAGGCGTACCGCAGGGAAGCATCCTGGGTCCGCTGTTGTATTTAATTTATACTGCTAATTTCTTTAAATGTCTGCAGAATTGCGGTTATCACCTTTATGCTGATGATACCCAGCTGTACATCAGCTTCGATCCTAGGGATGTAGAACAAGCCAACACTTTACTTAATAATGATTTAAGCCGCCTTCTGAAAGAATCTAAAGATCATCTTTTGCAAATTAATCCAAAAAAATCGGTAGCTCTTTTATTCTGTAGTGACATTGCAAGAACTAATATTCAGCAAAATCTAACCATTCAGATTGGAAATGATAAAATAGAACTAAAGAACAATGCAAAAAATCTTGGCCTTATAATTGATAACAAATTGACATTCACAGAACATATTAATCAAAAGTTACGATTGGGCTACTCTACTTTAAAAATGCTCTATTCACATAGGCATTTTCTCAATGAAAATATTAAAAAAATGATGTGTGATTCATTGTGTCTATCACATTTAAATTTTTGTTCAAATGTATACGGTCCTGCAATGGATAATTTTAATTCAAACCGAATTCAAAAACTTCAAAACTGTTGCTTGCGGTTTATTTATGGTATTCGGCGAAGGCAAGGAATTTCACATAAGCTGAAGGATGCTGGGTGGTTGAATATGTACTCTCGTAGATGTCTCCATGAAGGCGTTTTTTTCTATAAAATTTTAAAATTTAAAAAACCCTCTTATCTGATAGAAAAAATATCTTTACGATCAAATGTTCATAGTCGCAGCCTACGCACACGTAATTTATTAACAATCCCAAAACATCATAAACAATTATATAAAAAATCGTTTTCTTACAGAATTGCATTTGTTGTAAATAAATACAAAATTTTCGATTTTTCAAACTCTTGCTCAACTTTCCGCAAAAAACTCAAGATTAATTTTCTTAAAAAATAACTTGCGCGTTTTTTTTTTTTTTCCTTTTCTGTCCTTTTTCCATTCCTTGTCCCTAATCCTTTGCTTAATATATAGTTATTATTATTTTGTAAATCTTTAAAAGAAAATAGTATACATAATATGTACCTATCTTTGGGCGTCAACAGCACCTAAATTGTCAATTTGGGAGGCTGAAATAATAGCCCTTTATTCCATGTAGTTATAACAGGAACCTACTTATTTCTCAGTATTATAAAATTAATTACTTGGATTAATAAACGTTTTTATTATTATTATATTATTATTATCTATTCTTGTGAAATCTAGAATACACCCGATAATCTAATTTTCCAGATTAAAGTAGAATAATTCGCTAGATTCTAGTATTTCCGCCATCGATTCTTGACAGTCTGGCGGACGATATCGTGACAATAATAAACTGGCTAATAGGCTCGTTGCGTTAAGGCAAACTAATTTTTAATTTCTTCATTGATTGTCTCAAATTTCTTGTGCGACAAATGTGATATCGTTAATGTAATGTAAAAAACAGTCGATTGGCATTAAAACTACACGTACATGTATCAACTTCCTTAGGGACGTCAGAACGACAACTTCACGAAGAGCTAGCGCGGCAATGTCCCATCGCCTAGGGTGGAGATATGAAAAATATTGTCAAATTTGGTGCTATGAAGCCGCTCAGGAAGTTGGGCGTGTACATGAGTTACAAAATTTTAAGGTCGATGTACTGGGGACTATTAATTTCATTTCGAAATTCATATTGATAATTTGGCAATAGTCGTGCTTTTATATTTTCTTCCTACATAAAAATTATAATTTTTCCTTAGTTTCACTAAATTATTCTTTCATTACTTATAACACGTACATAATTTAGATTTAAACTGTTTGAAATTTCACTTAAACTTTTCGATACGCCACTGTCAAAGTGCCTAATTTATGGGTTCATCTTCAGGTTCAGGAACTTCTATGGATTTAACAGTTTCTTTTTGCATTTTATCCAGATTGGTATCGCTACAGGATTCCTGATACCGCCAATGATAGTAACTGGAGGTACGACAGAAGAAATCACCCAACAGCTTTACATTTTATTTATCGGAGTGGCTATTCTTACATCTGTTCTTCTAGTACTTATTTTAATTTGTAAGTACCTATTGAATTTTTTTTACAGCCTTGCGGAAAATTGATTATTTCGCACGACTGTATAAAAACTATTGTTTCTAACACTTGCGGAAAACTTTATTTTCCACAATTGTTAGGTAAGTAGCTATATAAAAAAAATTTAAAATATCTTTTTAAAGTTTTCCGTAGTGGACCGCCTACTCCTCCATCGTACGCCGCTCAACAACAAGCCGAAGAAGATGTCAGTTTTACTCAATCGCTCAAAAATCTTTTTAAAAATAAAAGTTTTATGCTACTTTTGATCGCTTACGGCATCAACGTTGGCGTATTTTACGCCATTTCTACTTTACTAAGCGAAATTATTCTAAAATTCTATCAAGTAAGTATAATGTTATTATTAGTTATGTAGTTATATTTTATAAATTACATTCTTTTACTATTTACTTTCCATAGGGTGCTGACAAAGATGCTGGACGTATTGGACTAGTCATCACTGTAGCTGGCATGGTTGGTTCAGTTTGCTGTGGATACGTGCTGGATCGATTCCGGAAATTCAAGTCAGCATTTTCTTATTTCAAATATTTATCCACTATTTATAATAATTATTTTCTAGGGAAACCACCATTGTCGTTTATGCCCTGTCACTAGTTGGAATGCTGGTTTTTACTTTTTGTCTGAGCAAAGGCCTAACCGTCGTTTATTTGGTTTCTGGATTTCTTGGGTAAGAATATTAACTGATCTGCTTTTCCTTCGTGTTCTGTCATCAATTCCTTTCCAAAATTTCTTTGACCGCATTTTTCCACGAATAATAGCTGGAAAAACATCAGAAAATGTCAATAAAAAGGAAAAAACTGTTTCATAATCTCAGGTCATTTTCATTTTATTCTCTTCTTCTTACTACAAGTTCAATTTTTAAAAAATCTTATTATTAGAACTAAATTGGCTAAAATTATTTTCCAGTTTCTTCATGACCGGTCTTCTACCAGTAGGCTTCGAACTGGGTTCTGAACTGACTTATCCAGAACCCGAAGGCACCCAAGCCGGACTTTTAAACGCAGCTTCACAAGTCTTCGGCATTACCTTTACAAATTTATACTCTACACTGTTCTACAAGGTAAACGATACTTGGGCGAACTTATCCATGTCGATCGCCTTGGCTGTAGGTTTGTTCCTGCTAAGTTGCGTTAGTTCGCACCTGAGACGACAAGCTGCGATAGCAGCTTCGAAATAAAAAAATAAAGCTGTATTGGGTTTTTTTTATTTTGTGATAAAAGGACATTATTTAAAGAATCGATTTTCTTTTCATTATTTAAAAAGCATGTATTTTGAATCTCTGATAAGCAATAACAACTTTACAAATAAATGACAAATAATTTTGATGAAAAACAATAATAAAGATTTATATTTTATAAATAAAACCAATTGAAATTGAAACCTCAATTAATATGTATTGGAATTTTAAATCTTCCTGTGACAATAAATATGTATTTGTAGATTTTAATGTTCAAATGTTCCATTATAGAAATAGAAAATGTTCAACTAGTCTTAGATATAAAATATAGGAAAAGTAAATAATAATTATTGTGCCAAAAACAAAACAAAAAAAGTATATATCATAATTTTACATATCTTTTCTATAAGTTTGTGATCCAAATTTACCACACAAATGTGATAATATATATTGTGCAAAATTTTCCAATATTTATAATATAAAAAATACATTCCACACAAAATAAATAATTGACAATAATTTCCAGACAATATAATAATAAAAATAATAATTATGTAATGTAGATTATATTGGCTGTTTTAGGGCGAGTATTATAAAACTCTTTTGACAGAATAACTAAAAGTTAACTTAATGATGTTACGTGTCATAGTAGTTCCAAAAGTTAACTTTTTAGTCAAAATAGTTTTATTATATCCGCCCTTAGTAGTTTATAGTAATTATTGTGATTGTTACAAAAGTCAGAACTTTATAAAATAGGTACGTATTGTTGTTACATGTGTAAGGGCTAAATTATGGACTGACTGGTAAACGTCTGGTTGTTACCTAGCAGGTACTTTCTATGCTGTAGATAATAGAAAATACCTGCTAGGTAACAACCAGACACTTACCAGTTGGTCCATAATTTGACCCTTATAAAATTTTATTAATTATAAACATAAATTATTTATGAAATGTTTTTACATATCAAAATATCATTTACAGTGTAATTGAATAAATTAATTTGACTGTTAAATAAATTATATGTGTTTATTTTTGGAAATTTATATTTTCCGAGGCTTCGAGGCTTAATATTTCGGAAACAGTGATGATTTTTGGAAATGTGTAAAGAGCTTTTTTGTAGGCAATTTACTTAATTATTTTTTGAATGAAAGATAATTTGATCGGCTCAGAAATGGCCGAGTTATAAGCGAATCAGTGGCGCAAAGATAAACGAATATACTTATATACGAAATAAAAATATAACTATTTGTTAAAAAAAAATATATATATATTTGTTACTAAAACGGAAACGGCCAACTTTCCATTATCCATTACCACTAAATGACTAAACTATAAACAGAGGATTTAATTGACTTCAATTTAAGCCGAGGGGTGGTTAACTGGTCAAATTTCTTGTACAAGTTGGTCAAAATCTCAGAAAATCTACTCAAAATCCCTAAAAATCTTTGAAATCCTCAAAAATTTAACAAAATCCCACAAAATCTCTTGAAATTGCATAAAATCCTACAAAATCTAACAAAATTTCATTAAAACCAGAAAAATCCTGCAAAATCTCATAAAATCATTAACATTCCTAAAAAATATTTCCTTCGAAATTCCCAAAAATTCTTTGGAATCCCCAAAAATCTGTTAAAGTCTCTCAGAATTCCATAATTTAGTGGAATTTCGGTAAAATTATGTTATTCTGAAAAAGGAATTACATGTGAAATTTTTGCGGAGTTTCCATAGAATTCACATTAGATTTTAGTTCTTCTCAAATTATGTGAAATTTCAATGAAATTTCAATTGAATTACACAAAATCCTAAATGAATTACATGGAGGAATTCTAAACAATTATATCAAATCACACCGAAATTCCCAACATGAAATTTCAGTTGTTACTGAATTTTAGTAAAATTCCAGAAAATTCCACTTGTGGAATGCCAAGGAATTTCCGCCTAAAAACATAAAATTTCGGTGATATTCCGAAAAATTCCCATGTAATGACATGAAATTTCAATATATTTCGGTAAATTTTCAAGAAATTACTTGAGGTTTCATTAATATTCCCAGAAATTCCTGACTATTAAAAGAGAATTTCAGTGAAATTCCGAAAAATTCCTATAAAAATAAATTAAATTTCGAAAAATCCCTTGAAGTTTCATTGGACTTTCGAGAAATCTTTGACTATGAACGAGGAATTTTTAAGAACTTACATGAAATGTCAATGAAATTCCGAAGAATTTTATAAAATTTTTTTGGAATTCCAGAATATTTCATCAGTGGTGAAATTTTGGGGAATTTCAGTAAAGTTAAAAAAAAAAATTATGGAATTTTTATGGAATTTTGAAATTGAAATTTTAGTGGAATTCCGAAGAATTTTATGAAATCCTATGATGTAATTCCGAAAAAAATTTGACTAGGAATTCCATAAAATCTTCTGGTGAAAAGTTAACGAATTTCTATGAAATTACTTAAAATTTTCGCGGAATTCCTATGAAATAACTTGAAAATTTGGTGGAATTTCGAAGAGTTTCATGAAATTTCATAGTGTAATTCCGAGGTATGTTTGTAGAATTTTATTGTAGAAATCCATGAAATCCTATGGTGAAATTTGGAAAAAAAATATGAAATCTTATAGTGAAATTTTTAGGAATGTCCGTTTTTCCATTGGACTTTCGAGGAGTTTCATAAAATCTTCTGGTGAAATTATTCCAAGGAATTTCTATGAAATTAACTAAAATTTTCACGGAATTCCCATGGAATAACTTGAAATTTTAATGGAACTTCGAAGAATTTCATGAAATCTCATAGTGTAATTCTAAAGAATTTATGTGCAAGAATTTCATTAAATCCTATGATGAAATTCGGTATTATGAAATCTTATATGTAGTAAAATTTCTAGAAATTTACGTTTTTCCGTTCAAATTTATCACTTGAATGGAATTTCGAGAAATTTCATAAAATCTTCTGGTGAAATTCTAAGGAATTTCTATGGAATTGACTAAAATTTTCGAGGAATTCCCATGAAATAACTTGACATTTTTGTGGAACTCCAAAGAATTTCATGAAATCTTATATTGTAATTTCGAAGAAAAAAAAGTTCCAAGAATACCATTGAATTTTATGGTGTGAAATCTGACATTAGAAATTTTTGCGGAGTTTCCATAGAATGCATAATAAATTTAAGGTCCTCTCAAACTACATGAAATTTCGAGAAATTACATGAAATTTCAGTAGAATTTCGATCGAATTACATGAAATCCTGAATGAGTTGCATGGAGGAATTCTAAGCAATCACATTGAATTATACCGAAATTCCCATGCGAGCTCCGATGCAATTGCATGAGAATTTTAAGGAATTGTCAGGGAATTACATGAAATTCAGGTGGAATTTTGAACAACTCTTATCGTTTCATAAGGAATTCCAATGAAATTCTGAAAGAGAAATCCTAATGTAATTACATGAAGTTTTATTTTTATTCCAAGGAATTCCCAGTTAAAAACATGGTATTTTAGTGAAATTGAAATTCCGAAAAATTCCCATTAGTAAAATTAGAGAAAATTTCACAAGTGGAATTCCAAAGAATTTCCGGCTAAAAACTTAAAATTTCGGTGAAATTTAGAAAAATTCCCATGTAATAATATGAAATTTCAATATACAATATATTTCTGAGGAGTTTCGGTCAATTTTCAAGAAATTACTTGAAGTTTCATTATTATTCCCAGAAATTCCTGACTATTGAAAGAGAATTTTAGTGAAATTCCGAAAAATTCTTATGGAAATAAATGAAATTTTGAGAGAAAATTTTGAAGTTTCATTGGAATTTCGAGAAATTTTCGACTAATAACATGGAATTTCAGTGAAATTTCAAAAAAAAATTCATAAAATTCTAGTGAAATTTCGAGGAATTTCTAAGAAATTACAGAAAATGTCAGTAAAATTCTGTAAAATTTTATGAAAATTTTGTGGAATTTCAGGATATTTTAGTGGTGAAGTTTTGAGGAATTTTAGTAAAGTTTTTTAAAAATTATGAAATTTGGAATTTCTATAGAATTTTGGAGAATTTCAGTGAAATTTCGAACAAAAAAAAATTATGAAATATTCGCAGAGCTTCCATCAAATTATATATAATTTAATTTTGTGTCGACTTACATAAAATTTTGATGAAATGTCGAAGTAAAATTCTGAGGAATTCTTGTCGAATTCCTTGAAATCTTATTGTGGAATTCCAGTGAAATTACATGGAATCTGAAGAATTCTCTCAAACAGAATTTTTGTGGAATTTAATAGAACCACGAGAAATTTCGACGGAATTCCGAAGAATTGAATTAAATTTTAGTGAAATTCTGAGTAATTTCTGTCGAATTACATAAAATTTTAGTGAAATTCCAAAAAATTTCATGAAATCTTTTGCTGTAATTTCGGAAAAGTATTATGAAATCCTATGGTAAAATTTCTAGGACTTTCTATTTTTTTATTCAAATTTGTTATTTGAATGGAATTTGGAGGAATTCCATAAAATCTTCCAGTGAAATTCTAAGGAATTTTAGTGAAATGCCTAAGAATTTCATAAAATCTCATAAGTAGTGTAATTTTGAGGAATTTTTGTCCAAGAATTCCATTGAATTTTATGGTGGAATTCCATAGAATCATATGATGAAATTCGGAAAAGTATTATGAAATCCTATAGTAAAATGTCTAGGAATTTCCGTTTTCCTACTCAAATTTGACATTTGAATTTAGAATCTCTAAAAACTTTTCAAAAATCACCAAAATGCTCCAGAAACATCTAAAATTTTAAAAATCTAAAATCTTCTGAACTCCTGTAAAATCGTGTAAAGATTTTCGAAATTCCCAAAATCCTACAAAATCAATTAAAATTTAAAATACCTATATGTTCATTATTTTATAGAGTTAACTCGGAGCGGTTGATTGGTTAAAATTTATCAGAAAAACTTGTAAGATATATTCAAAATCCCTGAAAATCTTTAAAAATTTAACAAAACCTCACAAAATTCTTTAAAAATCACTTGAAATGGCATAAAATATCATAAAATCACACAAAATTTTATAAGAACAAAAAAAATCCAAAATTTCCAAAAATCCTTCAGGATCTCTAATGGCCGTTTCCACCAACTATTTTAGGGGAGCTTCAAGAAGAAGTATTCCTTTAAATGACAGTCTTCTATCGAGAAATGTTAGTTTAAAAAATACTTATTGTTAAGGATCCCCTATATTAGTTGGTGAAAACGCCATAAAACCCCTTTCTAAATTCCCTGAAATGATTCAAAATCTTTTAAAATCCTGTGAAATCACGTGAATATTTTCAAAATCCTCAAAATCCTACAAAATCCATAAAGATTTAATTATATAGGTACACATTGTATGGAATTAACTAAACTTTGAGCGGTTACCTAATTGATGAAAAATACAAGTTGGTCAAAATCCCAGAAAAACTTGTAAAACCTAGGTACTTAAAATCCCTGAAAATCTTTAAAATCTAATAATATTTTATTAGAACAAAAAAAAATCCGACAAAATCCTATAAAATTCCTAATAAAAATATTCCTGTTGCCAAAAATCCTTTGGGATCCCCAAAAATCCATTGAAATCTCTAAAAAATCCTTCAGGATTTCTAAAAACTCTTCAAATTTCCCTAAAATCCTGTAAAATCATATGAAGATTTTCCAAATCCTCAAAATTTTACAGAATCAATGAAGATTTAAAATCTGTGTACATATTTTAAGGTTAAGGAGTTAACCACCTCTCGATTTGAGCTTAATTTTAATTACGTTAAAGCAATCAACGGTTAAAGTTAAAATAGGATTGTAATTATTATTAGTTCCTTCGCCACCTTATCAAGAAGACAGTAAAATCTCACGAATATGATTATAATGTTGGGCACTGGCTGGTCACTTTTCCATAAAATAAAGTAAACTTATTCCGAACAAAACAGCATTTATTTTCCACTCAAAATACATAATTTTTACTAACTAACTTCTAACAACCGGGTGTCGTGAACCCCCCTCTC